GCCTGCAGCCAGCAGGACCTGTGTGACTGGAGGGTGTTCTGTGTCCCCTCCAGTAGAGGTGAGTCAGAGGTGTGCAGCTGAAAGCGCTCAGGCCTGCAGCTGGTCAGGACTGGGGACACCTCTGATAGATTCATGCACATTGCAAGTCCCTTAACCATCAAGGCTCAGAAGACAGCCAACCCTTCTGGGTTGTTGCGAAGATTAAATGAGGTGAAGCCTGCATGTAACTCTTTCTTTCTGTTCGCTCAGCAACTTTGGGAGGGCTGCTGCCCCTGTCCCCTCCTGCAGTGGACAAAGGACAAAGGACGAAGGATGGGCAGCCTGGCAGAAGGGCGCCTGGGGACCAGCAGGCCAGTCCCTGTCTCTGGCCTGTGTGTGTGGTCCTGAGGTGGGGGCAGTTCTGAGCACAGTGCTGCTTTTTAGAGCTTGCTCTCAGCTCCTTCTGAGCTTCAAATTCAGTGGCAAATTCCCCTACACATTAGAAGCCAAAAGGAAAATAAGTTGGGGCCTGGCAGCCACACCCACTGCAGCCAAAACCAACGCCCACCTCTACCAGATGGGACCGGTGAACCTCATGGAGTCCCCTGAGGCCACCATTGTCCTCGCCACTAAGAGGAGTGAGGTCATTAGGTTCTTGACAAGAAGCCTGGATGGTGCAGAAGAAAGAGCGAGGCCTCCGTCTTCAGACAGCTGATCCCAGAGTTTTCTAGCCCCAAGACCTTGGGCAAGTTACTGAAAGTCCCTCTCTGAGCCTCAGTTTCCCCATCTGTTAAATGGGAAAGCCACCCCATCCTTCACAATGTCAGGTGATGTTCCGTAAATGTTGCTTCTCTTTCCTTCCCCAGGAGGAAACACTCAGGTTCCGGTGGACACTGTTTCTGCGGCAGGAAGACGACTGAACAGCTCTGGTTCCCAACTCCAGGGAACCAGAGCAGTAGGGTGGTGTGGGGGACAGTCATCTTAGGACCCAGAGCTGTCTAGGCAAAGCCAGACAGACAGGGGACGCCCATGGGGAGCAGAGTGTAACAGAGAATAAAATCAAGCAGCACAGGGAGGCCTGGCCCTGCCCCTTTCGAACTGGAAGACCCTGGGACACGGGTCAGATACATTTTCTGAACCGGAGTCCCTGTTCTGTGGAAGGAGAAACAAACACCCGCCTAAGAGGGTCCAGATACAAGAGTTGCTGGGTGGCTGTACTTGCAGCTGAGTGGCCTCTGACCCTCAGCCCTGCGGCCTGATCCCTCCCAACACCAATTGGTACCCTGGGGAGTGCTCACTGGCAGCCTGGCAGCCTCGTTCTGAATAATAATGGAAGTAGCTAAGAGTTCCCCGGGAGAAATAGTCAGTGAATATTAATTAGCTAATGTTAACTGGAAAACAGAGGGAATGCTTTCCCCAGAAGTCTCTCTGAAGTGATCTTCCAATTGCCACAAATGGTTTTAAGGGGCTAGGGTAGCTACTGTAGGTTCAGGAAGAAAATTTGACATAGGAAAAAAATTCCTTTTGGGAAAATTCAAGTCCACAGGAGTCAGTACAGTGATTCCCTTTAAACGTCTCTTTTCAAAACCCTGAGTAACTCACACCTAGTAGGTTTTCAAAGATATCTGCCGAACAAATGGGCACATGAATGGACAGATGGACATCATCTGGAAAGGGAGAAACAGACTTCAGTAGATGGGCTGGCAGAGAGCTGGCGGCCGATGCTACTGGGCTTGATGAGTTCCAGACGCTGAGCGACTTGGGCAGGAGGCTGTGGAGACCGTCTTGTTCTTAATCAGCTCCATCTCGCTGTCCACAAAGTTGACTATTTAATGTGTTATTTGGAAGTGAGAGCTGGGGCAAGAAGTCAGGAGGACTGAATCCCTCCCTCCACTTCAAAGATCCCGTATCTCTTCCGGTTACCCAAATCCTCTGCGTTTCTGATGCACTTAGGTATTCCTGGTGGAGACACTGATCCATGATTCAAGAAAATCCAGGCCAGATTAAAGGGCCAGGCACCAATCCGTGTGCAGAACAGCCCCCCTTCCCCCCAAACAAAGGCCCCTTAGGATCAGGCTCCTGCCTGCTGGCTTGTCTTCTCGCGTCTCCCAACACAATGCTGACAGATTGGAGGAACTGGTTTCTTTCCTCCCTAGAACAATATTTTATGAGGAGTCTGTTTTATTAAAATATTTTCCGCTGGATGCTTCCTGTGTTTCAAGAACTTGGTCTTGCCAGCTGGAGCTGATGACAGTTGAGAAAAACACATCCAAGTGCTGTTGTGACACGGCATTTGGAAGTGGGGGAGTGGGGGTGGGGGGGCGGACAGCGGGAAAACACCCCGCTGCA